AAAAAGATTTATTTATATCGCGGATAAAATGTCGTAAAATATTTGTAATCCTTTCGATCATATAAAAAGATCCGATAAACTTGTAAGAAAAAATAGAAAAGTATAAAAACAATTTAACGAGAATTATGAGAAGAGATGGCCTTCCGGGAGAATTTAGTAAGAACCAAATGGCCAATGTAAGAGAATTTTTCCAAATTTAACGATCGCTTAGCCCGCCCACATAGAGAAGGCTGTAACAAGTTCGGCGTCTGGGCGATGGCCGTTACCGTGACGAGCACGTGTGCACGTCGCCTTCTGTCACTCAGAGACCGACTTTACTCGGTTAACTCGGTTCGTCGGATAAAGATCAGCAAAGTGAGAGAGAGAGCGCCTATCGTCGAGAGATATTTAACGTCGCGCATTTTTAAGCATACGTTCGCAAATGACTCAGTTGGACAATCGTTTTATATAATTTCATGGTTCACGGCACTCGGGAGAGACAGATCGTAAGAATGGATTTGAAAATGAACCAATTCGTGCACGTGTTACGCATTAAGGTACGATCACGATTAGGAGTATGAGAAAGTTATTTCTATTCCTTCATTTTTCTTTTCTTTTATTTATATATATATATATATATATATATATATATATATATAAATAATTCACATTTATTCAATACGAACAGAATAAAAATTTGGTATATCCAATTGACATTTGTATATATATATATGTATATGTTAGATGAATTTTATATATTATTTTTATCTACCTTTATCCGATCTGATTAAAGATCCGTTTAAAGTGATAACGATATATTGCTAGATCGTGTTTGTACAAATTTTAATCGAGATCATTCTCTCTGCTTTTTTTTTCCAGGTGCGGCGTAATTTCGTCAATAGGGTGGGCAGAGGATCGAAACGCGTCCGGAGCAGTTTGGTGCATTAAACGAAGGGATCATATCGGGGAAGACGAAGGACTCTGACTACTAGCCTCCCCTTCCCTCGTGTGCGCGACTACTTCTTCCCCCCTTTTCGCGTCTAGAAAATTCCCACCCATCGTTGCTCCAGTTTCCGATTTTTCTTTCTTCGGTGGTGAGCCAAGTGTGATAAAAATTAAATGATATGTACCAGTGATCAGAGGTGATGGTGGTGTGATACTACGAGAGAAGGGTGCGCGCGTGTCAGATCTATGTGTGTGTGTGAATAGAAGAAGCGAAATAGAGCGAGAGGGTGAGAGGGTGAAAGAGAGAGAGAGAGAGAGAGAGAAAGAGAGAGAGAGAGAGAGAGAGAGAGAGAAGGAGAGAGAGAGAAATAGGGTAAGAGAGCGAGGGCAAGGATTACGAAGATACACGGTTTGAGGTGATAAATATATAATATATGTAAATGTATATGTATACATTCATGTAAAGACGTGTGCCAGTGTGTGCGTACGGAGAGTACAAAAAGTTTAGTTATATAGGAGGTAATAGAAGAGGAGAAAAAGAAAAGTTACGAAAAGAGAAAAATAAAAATAAAAGAGAAGAGAGAAGAAGGATCGGTTTAAGAAGGAGTCAAAAAGTGAAATAGAAGAAAGAAAGAAAGAAAGAAAGAAAGAGAAAGAGACAGACAGAGAAAAAGAGCGTGGAGAGGGTGGTGGTGATATCGGCAGGTGGGAGAGGAGGGACAGTAGTAGTATAGCATGAGTTCGTACTTCGCGAATTCGTACATCCCGGACCTGCGAAATGGCGGGGTGGAACACCCGCATCAGCATCAGCAGCACTACGGTGCCGCGGTACAGGTGCCCCAGCAAACGCAATCGGTACAGCAACAATCGCAACAGCCTGGCGATCCGTGCGATCCGAGTTTGCTTAGGCAAGCGGTGTCTGCGCACCATTATGGGGCAGGTGGGGGTGCCGGTAGTGCCGGTGGACAGCAGGACATGCCATATCCGAGGTTTCCGCCGTACAATCGGATCGACATGCGAAACGCGGCATATTATCAGCATCAACAGGAGCACGCTGGAATGGACGGTATGGCGGGCTACAGGTCGGGCTCACCGACCACGGGGATGGCTCACATGGGTCATACACCCACGCCGAATGGTCATCCCTCGACTCCAATCGTCTACGCGAGCTGTAAACTCCAAGCGGCCGCCGTCGATCATCAAGGAAGCGTTCTCGATGGGCCAGATAGTCCGCCGCTCGCCGTCGAGACTCAAATGCACCATCAAATGCACACCCAGCACCCTCATATGCAGGCCCAACAGGCACAACAGACGCATCAGCAACAGCAATCCCAACACCAACATCTACAGGCGCAACAACAGCACATGATGTATCAACAACAACAGCAACAGCAACAGGCTCAGGGTACGACGCAACAGCCTCAACCTGGCATGCACCCTCAGCAACAGCCTCAGACACAGCAGCATCAGGGGGTCGTAGCTTCGCCGCTTGGTCAACAGCAACAGCCCACCCCTCAGGGAGCCGCCAGCGCGAACTTACCCAGTCCTCTCTATCCTTGGATGCGGAGTCAGTTCGGTGAGCAAGTCAGCCCTCCTTTCTTTTCTATTTCTTGCTTCTTTTTTTTCTTTTCTTTTTTTTTCCTTTTATCTTTTTTTCGTTTTACTTTATGCGCATAACTATCTTGCGAAACCTTCCCACGGACTACCGACAAAACATATTTTTTTCCAGAAATTTCCCCATGATATCGGCGCGTGATCTAACTACGTTCTATATAACACAATCCTCGAAAACACGGTCCTCGAAAATAGACTCAAGGTTCTCGTCGTAATCGTGACTTTTACGAAAACCTTCTCAGGCCTCTCTTCCTGCCGCTACGTTTCCTTTCAAATTTATACAACGACATAAAACTAGTCCAGATTTGTACGAGCTTTGACTCCGGATAGATACATATATAACTCTATACCGTATTTCTTAGATATATACTAACAAACAACTGAGTTATTTATTGCTTCGACCTTTTAGCCCGGTGGTTTTACCGTCTACAGACCTGACCCCCATAAAAGTTATCTTACTGCTTGCCAACGACGACGACGATGACGACGACAACGACGACTCATTATTGTCCGGTTCTCTGATCTACGCTTTCGACCGTGAACTACATACGCATTTAGAGTATTTCGAAAAAATAAAACAACGTGAAAAGGGAGCCACTTAATTAGTTAAAATTATTTTACTGCGATAAAAATAAGCACGAGCTCTGGGATAATTAGTTGGTACTTCTATATACTACATACACATATCCACTACTATTCGATAATTAATCGCTTCCCATTAACACCACTCTCCTGTTTTCGTTATTTCCTGTGTCGCATTTTAATTAACCACGATATCGCAACGTATTACTCGTTTCTACATTTAAATATTCGTTGCGTGTTTCTGGTAAACTCGCACGAATATTCTGTCTCTTTATTTTTTCTCTCTCTCTCTCTCTCTCTCTCTCTCTCTTCTCTCTCTCTCTCTCTCTCTCTCTCTCTCTCTCTCTCTCTCTCTCTCGTGTATCAGGAAAATAGTGAAACGAAAATCTATTCTTCTGTTCGTTTGAAATTATTCGTAAAATTTGGAATCCACAGGAGACAACTAGATGGTATTTATTTGCGAGTCAAGAAAAAGACATAACGAGACAAGGATTTATGACTGCTATAACGAAGTGATAATAGGCCTACGGTATAATTGAGGTAGCAAAAGGCTCGGTTAAAGCCGTACCCCAGTGATGTTAAAGTGCACAATTTCTAGGGTCTCCGCTTTGCTTTTACTTCCTCGTTTACTTTCTCCCTTCCGTTTCTTAGGTCGTTTTAGACCTTGCATTTAAGATAAATCGTCTTTGCATCGAACAAGCCCGTATTTACCGTGAAATGTAGCCTCGAAATTGACCCCACCTGACTTTACCTTTTCTTCAAAAAATCTATTCCACTGGTTATTCTTACTGGTCAGTCGTCGGTAGTTCCTCGTTGAAGTCACTTCAACGACTTAAACTTTTTTTTTGATTCTATCGAGTTCGTTTATGTGTTTACGTGATCTGAATTATACCACCAAGGGAAATGGTCTAATTGTTTCTTTTTACTTCTTTTTTTTTCTATTTTTTTTTTCTTTTTCTTTTTTTTTTTTTTTTTTAATCTCACCTTACCCTTGATTTTTCATTTTATAATTGGATTTATACTTTAAGAGATGTAATCTCTCATTTTTATTGACTGAGGTTCAAAGAGTCTTCTCATACCATCTCTCGGTTAAGCTCGGAAACTAGTGGCAGGTAACAGCAGGCGATTGGCCGATAAACAATCCGGTTTTATGACGACGGTTGTTCGCAGTCACTAAGAGTTGAAGAAAGTGGACCGAGTCCCTTAAACCGCCTACAGATGTCGGCACGTAAAACCCGTTTTGATGTTGAGTTTTATTTTTTTTTTTTCTCTTTTCTCTCTCTCTCTCTCTCTCTCTCATTCTCTCTATTTTTTTTTTTTTTTCTTTTAAAAGTCATAACTTCGATCGAATGAGATTTCTTTCTTTTTTTCTTAATTTTTGAAGAGAAATTTTTTATCGCCAAATAATCTCCGTAACAATAATGAGATTTAACTTTCAATAGATTAGCTATCATTAAACTTGAATTCTCTTCTGTTTTCATTCTAACGTAAAATTTATATTGCCATTACTTTTCTTAACAATGAAGAAGATCTAATAGATATTTATTCGTTTATAGAAATTTGGACTCTTTCGATCTTCGTTGCCCTTTATTCCTTTATACGTTGCAAAATAGCAGCTGAGCTAAGCGCGCTATAAACTGTGTCCCATGAATAATGCATGATTCAATTTTATAGATGCAGGTGCTCTCGGGCATTTGCGCCGGTGAAAACGTCGAGATTCTCTGCCACCTTTAGCGAGAGACTTTTGCGTACATACGTTAAGAAATTCCAGCATAGTTAAGCGTTCTACAAAAGAGCAGCATGCGAATAAGTGGATGCCCGTTAGCATCGAAGATCGCGGAACACTTGCGATTAGAAATCCGTTCGCGATTTGCCACCAGGATTTAGAATTTCCCAACTTTTCCACGATTAGAATGTTCTAAGTCGGAACGTGATTCTAATCGTAGACTATATTCTAACTATTTTCTATTTCACTTGGATAAATACTATCGGCAATACTATTGTCTAAGGATCATGATTAAAGATAATCTTCAATCGTTTTAAACATATATTTTTTATGACAGATATTAAACGTTTAAAAATATTGATTATTATTAGATTGATATGTTAAAGAAAATAAGATATAAATTTAAGATAAAATTGTTTATTTAAATAAAAGCAAATATTGACAATAGAAAAAAAAGTAAGGTACACGATCGGAAATGTTAAGCCAAAGTAAAGGAAACATCGATTTCACACAACGGTACGGTTAATGCACGAGATAATCGCGATCCTTGTACACCGAAAGATTTATAGTATCCACCTCTCCTCCTACGAATCAACGTAACCATACGATTACGTAGGTGTTAAGCTTCTGTTAATCGGTTCGTACGAACAAGTGAAGTGTAGGGAGATAAAAATCGATTTAGAGATCGCTTTTTTTTTTTTTTTTATTTTACTTATTTCTTTCTTTTTTTTTTCCAAATTATTTCATACAATTGAAAGAATTCAATTAAATGCATTTAAATCATACACTTAGAATTCTATTATAAATTTCAAACACGTACTTAGTTAAACGAGAAGATAGTTAATCTATAATATTATTTCTTCAAGTTATATAATATTTTCTAATTTACCAACTCTAAAGATAGATCCGATCTGTTAAAAATTTCATTTCAAATGAATATCTCGATTAAAAGTTAATAGAGTTTCGATGAGCTTAGGATCAAAAAGTTAATGAACTTTCATAGAGTTTTAGATTAAACGTTAATGAAGTTTAGAAAAGTTTAGGAAGGTTTTATCTTACATGATAAACCATGGGCGTACACGCGAGTTTAGAAACCTAATCGTGTTTCTTCGAATTATGCTATTAAGGATACGTAATATTAATCTCGTCATTTCTTCTTCGAAATAAAACTAGAATGAGAAAATAATGACGGTATTGTTAATTGAGATTAATATCTTACGCATAGTGATAATTTTAGAGATTAATCCATTATATAATTTCAACTACTTAATCGTGTTAATTAATTCCATTCATTTGGCGTGTAACGTAATTCAGATCGATAAGAAAAAAAAAAAAAAAAAAACAAAAAAACAAAAAACAAAGAATCGAAAAATGAAGATAGAAGAATATCTTCTTCTTTCGCGAGGGACACAATGTGCCCCATTCAGAAAGTTCTCCAGATATCGGAACGATGTGAGTTTCTAAGAAACCATATGGCAGGCGGATGGATTTGACCTTTGTAAAGCAGCCGGGATCGCGGGAATCGGTTAATTCTCATCCGACGAGAGAAAAAAAAAGAAAGAGAGAGAGAGAGAGAGAGAGGGAGAGAGAGAGAGATAGATAGATAAAGAAAGAGAAAAAAAAAGAATGCATTTAGTTATAATTCGACGGAGAGGCAGCCTCTTGTAGAAGCTCTCGTGATTGGTTACCGTAATGATGGCGGCTTCGTGAGATATTTAAAAAGGGATGGACTCGAAAAGGAGGTGTAGAAGGAGGAGCGTTGAGAAAATGGAGAGAAAGAGATAGAGATAGAAAGAGGGAAAGATAGAGAAAGAGAGAGAGAGAGAGAGAGAGAAAGAGAGAGAGAGGAGGATGGAGTCGCTGCTTGGAGAAGGTCGAAGGGACGGATGACGATGATGAATGCTTTAACAGACGTTCCGACTACGTTTGCTTTTGAGCTACACCGCCATGACTTCTCTCGAACCGTACAAGCATTAGAGAGAAAGAGATAAAGATATGCATACTAATTTCTTAAAGGCTTTTACTTTTCAAAATGGAGTAAATGAAGTAATCGAATTAGATCAGAAGTGAGAATGAATAATTTTTCGTGTCGAATTCGAAATATTCAATCGAAATGAAATAGAAAAAAGGGAAAACCTTTCGATATAAAAAAAAAAAAAAAAAACAAAAAAAGCAAAAAAAAAAAGAAAAAAAAGATCGACGTTGCCCTGTAGAAGCCAGTCGAGCCATTTTAGTCGTTCATTATCTCTCGACTTAGCTCCGAGGCTTTCAGACTTCGTCTTCTCTGTCCGACGGTCTCGTCGAGTGAAAGGAAGAGAGAAAAAGAGAGAGAGAGAGAGAGAGAGAGAGAGAAAGAGAGAAAGAGAGAAAAATAAAAAAAAAAGAAGAGAGAGAGAGAGAAAGAGAGAGAGAAAGAGAGAAAAATAAAAAAAAAGGAAGAGAGAAAGAGAGAAAAATGAAAAAAAAAGAAGAGAGAAAGAGAGAAGACTAGAGAAAGAGGAAATCCTCGTATATCGGATGCTCTTTCTCTTTCTCTTTCTTTTTTCTATTCTTTTTCCTTCTTGGCGAGACTTCTAAGTCCCCCGTATGAGTGTGCGGCCAGCTTGACGTTCCTCTTTCTTGGGGTTATTCGTCGGCATCCTCTGTTAAATTCT